GTTGCCGTGCAAGCATCGAGTTTGGCCGCAGGCGATAGAGAGCTCTCCCAGCCGCCATGCCCATCACGCGCCCCGAGGAGACGGGCCCGCCGGAGAACTTCTACGACGTGAAGGAGGCGCGCAAGTACACGTCGAGCAGCCGCATCATCTCCGTGCAGGCCGACATCGCCGACCGCTGCATCGAGCTGCTGAACCTCGAGCCGGGCAAGAAGAAGTTCGTCCTCGACGTCGGCTGCGGGAGCGGCCTCTCCGGCGCGGCGCTGGAGCGCGCGGGCCACGAGTGGGTCGGCTGCGACGTGTCGCGCGACATGCTGCGCATCGCCTCGGAGCGCGAGGCGGCCGCGGCCGGCGGCGGCGACGACGACGACGACGTCGGCTTCGGCTTCGACGGCATGGACGACGACGACGACGACGAGGAGGAGAGCGGCTCCGACGACGACGAGGAGGAGGAGTCGAGCGAGGACGAGGACGGGGCCGGCGCCGGGCCGCGGCGCACGCACGTCGGCTCCGCGGAGCTCGTCCAGCACGACATGGGTTTAGGCCTGCCGTTCCGCGACGGCACCTTCGACGGCGCCATCTCCGTGTCGGCGCTCCAGTGGCTCTGCTACGACAACGACAGCCGCCAGTCCGCGACGAAGCGCCTCGGCCGCTTCTTCGCGTCGCTCTACCGGTGCCTCAAGAGCGGGAGCCGCGCGGCGCTCCAGTTCTACCCCGAGTCCGACGCGCAGGCGACGCTCATCGCGTCGGCCGCCGCCCGCGCGGGCTTCGCCGGCGGCGTCGTCGTCGACTACCCGAACTCGACGAAGGCGAGGAAGCACTACCTGTGCCTGTCGATGGACCGCCACGCGGCCAGGCCCGCCGCCGAGGAGCCGCGGCGCGCGCGCGGCGGCGTCGTCGTCGCCGGCGGCGGCGAGCGCGCGCCGAAGCGCCGCAAGACGGGCAAGAAGCCGGCCAAGGACCGCGCCTGGGTCCTGCGCAAGAAGGAGTACCAGCGCGGCCAGGGCCGCGACGTCAAGGACGACTCCAGGTACACGGGCCGCAAGCGCAAGGACCGCTTCTAATCTATCCATGGGTGTCTCTTCTTCCCGCCGGGGGCGAACGTCGGTGCGCATGTCGCACGCGTGGTGTTCTTCAGGCCGGCTGGTGCACCGCGGTGCCCCACGGCGTCGACGGCGCGTCGCGCCCGCCGGCGGGCGTCACGGTCCACCGCACGGGCATCGGCTGCCACCTGAAGCCAGATGAGCAAGCTGCCACGCGCGGACGGACGCTCACGCGGTCGAAGTGCTTGCTTCAACATGGGGTCAGCGTTTTTTTTTTCCCCAGAGATTTTGAAGCGCCAGAATCAGCTTCTAGTTGCTCGCCTTTGCGGCGATTCAACACCGCCGATGTTGACGTGCACGAGGTGAAAGTTTGAACTTTGCAGCGTTGAGATCTGCGCGCTCCACCACCGGTGGTGCCCGCGCGCCAACGATACAACCCGAGCGCGCCTCCGCCGCGCACGACACGCCACCGATACACGCTACCATGCTCGGCCTCAGCGCCACGGCGTCGGCCTTCGTGCCGCAGACGGTCGTCGCTCCGGAGACGAACGAGCTCGACGAGGTCGACGCCCAGAACGAGCTCCTCGCGGACCTCGAGCTCCTCGAGGCAATGGAGATCGCGTCGCGGTGCGCGGACCTCGTCGTCGACGACGCGCCGGCGCCGCTCAAGTCCGTCGCCAACGTCGCCGCCGCGCTCGCGGCGCGCGCTCGCGGCGGCAAGCGGGGCAAGGGCGCGCGGCCGCTTTCCGACGCGCAGCGCGCGGCGGCGGCGGAGGCGCGCGCCAAGGGCGGCGGCAAGAAGAAGACCGGCGCCAAGGGCCGGGCCCAGGGCGGCCCGCGCGCCCAGAAAGTCGGCAAGTCGCAGAACGACAAGTGCCTCCCGTGAGGCGCCGCGCCGCGCGAGGAAGACCTAAGCAGCCGCGCCGAGAGCCCTTAGAGTGTCATCACGGGTCGTCTTCCACGTCGAAGGCGTAGAGGTAGCCGTCCTCGCAGCCGACGTAGACGCGGGTCCCGAAGACCGCGGGCGAACTCCCGACCATCGCGCCCGTCGTGTGCCGCCAGCGCTCCGCGCCGCCGTCCGCGTCCAGCGCGAAGAAGGCGTCGGGCCCGCCGGCGTAGAGCGTGTCGCCGCGGAGCGCCGCGGACGACCCCACGCCGCCCTGCCGCAGGAGCGACACGGCCGTCCCGAGCCGCGTCCGCCAGAGCACGTCCCCCGCGGCGGAGAAGGCGTAGACGTGGCCGTCGCCCGAGCCGACGACGACGACCTCGGCGCCGTGCCGCTCCATGACGAGCGCGCTCGCCTCGAGG